TTTAAATAACTAAATAGCCATTAGGTAAATGGATGCCATGCAAGTAAGAATAAAAGGAGACATCATCCCTGCACTATGGCTGATGCAATGTTGCTGAGCATAGATGTGTGCATGTTGCTGAGCATAGATGTGTGCATGTTTTATTTACATCCAGAGCATGTTACCTTGACAGCGGTTTGGTAATATTTCAACACATGACAGTTCCACCCAAATTGAAAAGTGGGCACATTGCCACATAACAGAAACATACATTGCTGGTAGGGTAATATCAAATTTACGCAAAAATCACATCTTGGTTATTTTTCGATAATTTGCAAAAGTGGTTTTGATTATGAATTTGTTTTAAAAATTCTCTAATATATTTGCAAAAATACTGTAAATAATTCAGTATCTATTTCTCAGTTGTATACAAAACTTATCTTATTTCATGGTCAGTGATTAACAGAGTTGTAAGGAAATTAAATTAAAGGTCTCTCTTTTAAAATTTTATTTAGCAACATGTTTAACAAATGACTAAATGTAACACAAAATTATGAATAAAAAAATATTTGTTATTCAATACATATACTGTTGAATGAAATATAACCAATTTTCATTTTTAATCTTATTTCTAATAAAAGAAGAAGAGATTACATCTGCTACTTTTAAAACAGTTTCAAGACATGAAAAAATCATCATTGTTATTAATCAATGCATTCTGGATTACCTTGCAATATGTAAATTTCAGATATCTGTGAAATTAGATATCAATTAGTTGTTTTAACTGTTTCAAAAAATGAAGCAATATCACTATGCAGAGTAAGGCAGCGATATTGGTATGCAGAGTAAGATTGCATAAAATGGGTAAAATTGCTAACAGAAGGTATTAAATGCTCTGCCAAAATATATTTACCAGAAAATTTGAATTTGATAATGAATATATCCAAAAACATGTTTTAGGTCAAAAGTTTGAAACTTGATGGCTAAATCTAAAATTGTGTATGTTAAAATATTTATAATTAGGCACACAGGTCAGATTAAATTTTTTAAATAAGGTAAAGCATGCAAGGGCTATCTACCTAAGGGGAAAGATGCCTTCATGGAGGAATTTCAAAAGAAAACTGATTTCCAGTGTGTTAAAAATAATGCATGTAATTTTCATTTTGTACATATTCCTTATGTTAAAAACTCTGATATATGCTGAATTAGTGTAAATTACTTACTCGAAAAATACAGTGAATGCACAGAAATTAAAGAATGTGCATACTGAAAATTGAAAAATATGGAATGTATATGGGTACTGAGGCACATCCTTATAAAAAGCATGCATTTGCTTTTAACAAAATATGCAAATATTTATTAAATTACTTATAAATGTATTTGGAAATAAGGAGTTATTCACTCAAAATCTCCTGTGAATGTTACTGTGAAGAAATCGAGTTATTTAATATATATACATTTATAATGATTATAAATATGATATAAATATATAATGACTTTTATATTTAATTGTAAACATAATTGTTGGTACTGGAAAAAAATCTACTTAAAGATGTTTTAAATCGCAGTTTACGAGATGTGTACTTACGGAAGTAGTAAAGTAGAATTTTTAGATCGTGTATTGCTGAAATCAACAGAAAAAAAAAAAAAAAAATTGATAAGTATTAAAAGAATTATTTCCTTACTAATAACTTAATTACAAGCTTTAAATAATACAGTACAAAGTCCGAAATCCAGACATCCATTATCCAGAATGATATAAAATCTGGACCTCAAAGCCACAAACATGTTTTTTTTTTCGGGGGGGAGGTATGCTTTACGCACGCGCATTTAATTTCTCCTTCCATAATAAAACATGCAGAGATTTTCACTTAAAAATTCCGATTCTTAATTTCACTTAGGCACTAAGTAAAATACCTCGTTATGGAAAAATAATCATGTAAGCATAAATTTGTGAGATTAATAATTTCACTCCGTAGCTGAGTGACTGCTTGTACATACATCTCAAACCGAAACATTCACCTATTTTATATCCCGACCCGATTTTATATCCGATTTTATGACACCGACCTGGCGAGTTTTTATTTATTATATTTTGCTTTCATCACCGCATGTTTATCAATACACGACAGCTTCAGTAATAACTCATGCAGTGATGTCTACACTTTTTTTATATATATTAGTATTTGAATAACAAGAGTATGGCAACCTTTTATGCTAACATTACACTTAGCAAGCAATCTTGATGTCTGAAAAATGCTGACGAGGAAATATTCAACAAAAATTTCTTTTCATATGCTAAAAATAGATTTTGTTAATGAAATTCATAAGCTAAAAGATTACATTTAGTGCTATTTTAAGAATAACTGATATGTTTATTCACCATAAACCCAGAAGCGGCGGCAGAATTTAGGGAAGACAAAATTTTTGGAATTTGGGGAAGCACCAAGCGGTAAAATTAAGGGACGAGAAGTTTTTATAATGCAAACTTTTCGTAATCGGAAAACATGCATGACATCGAGCATTTAAAAGAGTAACGATATCCCCCGTTACATATCGTGTAAATAAAAGAGCATGGATGACACAAGCATTAATGAATGATTGTTTTGAAAATGATTTTATACCCGAAGCTCAGTAACATTTGAATTCGGTTGGTTTACCTGATGGCTCAAAAACAGTCCTGATTGTAGACAACTGTTTGGCTCATACTTCACTTAAAGTTTTAGTGAAAGATAATGTATCCATATTAGTCTTCCCTCCAAATTGTACGTCTGTCATTCAGCCTATGGATATCAGAATAGTGTGCATGCTGAAATGCAAATATAAAGTAGTATTCTTAAAATCCATGTAAAATTTCTTGAACAATGGCAAGACTATTCAAGAATTTTTGAAATATTTTAGCATAAAATCTGCTGTGTGGAGCATCGCAAGATCATGGAAGGATGTGTCTCCAGATACATTAAAAAATGCTTGGCATAATTTATGGCCAGCTACCATAGTTCATGGTGAGGGCGACAAAGATGATAGCCGCGAATATGAAGGTTTTCGGATATCGCAAACTAAAGGTGAAATTTTCCAGTTAATGGTTTTTGTAAAGAAATGTGGAGAAGCGGTAATAAATAAAGATGATATAACAGAAGTTTTTGATTGGGATGGCAATGCCCCAATCATCAATCAACGGATGGCGAAATCTGTAGTATGGTTCTAGATCCAGAAAATACCACTACCGATAGTGAAGAAAGTAATAGAGAGGTTATTGAAAATGAAAAAATTTCGATTGACAAGTTAGTCGGTATTGTCGACACAGTAATTATAGGACTTGAACAGTGGAACTTTGTAACTGAACAAGAAATTATGCCCGTTTATAGAATTGAAGAGAAAGTATTAGCACAAAAAACAAAGCAACTAAAGTAAATAAATTTTAACCCTTTTTTTTTTTTTTTTTTTTAATTTTGATATCCTTTAGATCATAACTGCTCTTTATTTCATAAACTACGATTTCATATTTTTAATTGCATAATTTCTGCATGCCATCTTACCAGATTTAAATAAATGATCTAATATCCGGAAAAATCCCAAACCCGGAATCGCCGAAGTCCCGACGAGTCTGAATTTCAGACTTTGTACTGTAGTAAAAAAACTTTTTTTATCTCTTTCAGAAAATACTTATAGAAAGTGCATGAAAATCAGAAATCAGCAGCAATATTTGACATATTTCACTATTAAAATAAAAGTTGCTGTAATTTGAAATGAGCCAATCAAAGCATTAATTTGAGTGACTTTAATTTTTGATTTAAAAGATGCCCAGAAGCTGAAAATCAACTCATATTTGAGAAAGTATTTCAGAAAGAAACTCTGTAAATACAAAAGAAATAATGCATAATTTTATTATTAATAATACAATAAACTTTGATTTTAATTTTTTTAAGCATTAATCAAATAAAATTGAATAAACTTGAAAATTTTTTTTCTAATTGTAATTTTGCTTAAAATTAACGAAATTTTGTTTAAAAAATTTCATTCCATTCAGAATGAAATGTTATCTTTCACATATTTAGAACTCTGAAATATTGTAGAAAATGAAAATATATGCATTTATAGTTTTAGAACATAAATACAAAATGTTTACCTCTGATTATGTCACAACCTATTGATCGTAATGGCAAGTCACTGTATGTTTTCATCACCAAGAGGGGTGCATCACTGATTCAACGCAGTGTAGTCGAAAAACCAGTTTGGGCTTCCCCTCTATTTTCTACCTAGCATCCAAACAAAGAAAATGTTTAGAAGCTACTGCAGTACCTCAGTGAGTATTCAGCGTTTGTTGAGGTTTTCGTGTGTCCAAGAAACTACTTAAAAGCTTAATCTGCTTCTCAACTCAGAAAACAATTCTGATGAGTTCTCCATTTGTATTTTATCGAAAATATTTAAATTATAAAATTAGGTAAAAGAACTTGTAATATTTTAGGGAAATAAAAATAAAGCATTTTTCATTGCCCAGAAATACGAGACAAAAGTATGTTTACACTTGGATAGCATCACAGCAAATGACAAAAAATAAATTCACCAAACTAGTCAGCATGATAAATAATAAAGATGCTATATTGTTGGTCCTGAGTTGGAATCCACAAGAAAGCATAAATATTTGCAAATGTGTAAAGTTTTTACAACATAACAGAACCCAAAATATATCAAGCCAAGCGTCCCTTCAAGAGTCTAATGCCACAAAATGAAAGTATCAGACCCCTGAATTCTGAAAGGTGTTCTCAATAAAAAGCAGGATGGAGCTGAACAAAAGTCATACTATCACTTAAATGTGCTTAAGGCCTTGGTCAATGACATGTGCTACTTTCTGCCTTTTGGGCATAATTAATTTTGTGAATTGTGTGCTGATTCAGATCAAGGGACAGCAATATTAATAAATATTATCACTTTCCATAAATTAAAGCATAAAATCACTTGCAATTCAGAAAATGACATATTATAAGCTTGCATTTGGTTAATAAATACTTAATGCATACCTCTTTACTTTCAGCTTCACTTTGGGACAAAGCAAGAGCTAATTGTAGATCTTCTTCTTCTTTTAATTCTTGCTCGCTCTTACGATTTGCAGGTGTTGTTTCCTAAAATTCAATATGAATTTCATATTCAAAATTATGAAAAAAAAATATTTTAAATAATTACAAGAGTAGGTGTGGTTTTTCACATACTTGAGAATTTGACTGAGGAGATAGCTCTGGATTTGGAGAAACTGACTTTGGAATAGTGGATGGTCTTAGAAAAGGGGAAAAAGATATTAGTGTTCATGTACAGAGTACTATAATAGCATTAATGAAGAACAGCAAAGTTATAAATAAAATATTACTAATATTTAACTTTCAGTCTTTTGATGCTATGTATGCTTTCACTACCAAGTTTAAAAAGAAAGGAATTAAATGATCTTATTTTCACCTTCTAAGATAACAGATATACTAAAATTTAAGCAATAAAAACTCATTATAAAAATTTCTGATTCAATCCCAAAAATTCAATAAGAATTTTCAATCTTTTCACATACATAAGTTTTATGGAGAATTTGCAGTACATAAAATATGAAACTTACTTGTTTAACTTTTCCCAACAAGCTTCACACACTCTTACTTCTTTTTCAATACCAAAACGAGGAATTGGACAAGAACGAGAAGAGCACTTACTGCAAAATATTTGTCCACAGTTTCGACAATGATGCTAAGTAAAAAAAAAAAAATTATTTAACAAAGTCAAAGATTGTATAGTATATTTAAGAACATATTAATAACAGGAATTCTAAGTTAAAGATGAAAATAAGGATAATATCAAACACACTTTTAAACTATAGTTTGCTAGCTTCAATATAGTAGAATACCATAACCTGTAAAAATGTGTCCAAAAACTAAAAACTCTGGATAATTTCATATGTGAAATGGAGTGAAGAATCTGCATATGACCATCACGAAAACACTGTTTTGGGTTCTCAAATTAATCTCAATCTAAAATATTGCATTATCTTATGCTGAAAGTTAAGATTTCAGACTTCTTACTTCATGTACTTAAAAAGTTTTCTTACAGCAGGTATGAATTACATGAATTGCAATGAGAATTAGGGATTTCAATTAAAAAAAAAATATTACAAACTGTTATATCTTGTCTAATTTGTGTGTCATTTATCTTACAAATAAATTGAAAACTATTAAGAAAAGAAAGAAAAAAAATCTTAATACTTTAAGCAATGAGTCAGAAATAATTCTACAGTCAATCTATATCCTACTCATATTTGAAATGCGAACAAAAACAAAATAAATGCACAAAAAGAATTCAAGTTAAAAAATCAATCACAAAAAACAAGAAAAAAATGTTTTAAGCTGGAATTTAACAAAAAACAATATATAAATAAAATTAACTTGTCTCCAGATAACATCTAAATAACACACACACACAAACACCAAAAAAAAAAAAAACTCAATTACTTAAGTTTCATTTTCACACAAATTAATTTAACAAGAAAAAAGAACAAAGCAGAATTAAAATACTTAATTTCATAAATGGAGCTTTTTAATTTCATATTTCACTTTCTTATCATAAAAAATAAAAATGAATATTATAATTATGTTATTGTTACAAATTTATATTAAAATTATTATTGCATATATCTAAATAAATTTTAGGGAAATTATCCCTCTAATGCCCATGGGTAGCATATTTGCTACCATGTATTAAATGCCACGTTTTTATACCAGGAATGCCATGAAATGTAATTTTTATGTCATAAATTTATAGATTGAACCTTTCTCATGCATTATTAGCAAATTTTAGGCATAGATAGCAGCACCAGCTTAAAGGAAAAAAAATTAGAAAAAGCACGGATGCAGCAAACAAAGCAAGCACCTTTTCAGACGTAAGTTGTTTGTTTATTTTACAAGCATTTTATTAATAAAACAGTTAATTATTACTATTTATATAAAGTAAAAGAGTTAGTGTATCACACAGTATAAAAAAAAACTTTTTCAAAATTGTCGTTTTTAATGCTAAAATGTATTTTTAAAATCATGGTAGCAAATCTGCTACCATGGGCATTCGTGTATCTAAGCCTAGCAGTTCTCTGAAGAAAATATGTTTTTACATTGAAATTAGTTTAACTTTGTAATTTTACAGATAATATATCCTTAAATACAATTTATGGATTTTAATTTTATTAGTTTAAATTTTGTTATTTTTCAATTTAAAAAATATTTTAAGACAGATTTTTCCTGTAAAAAAGTCTCTAGAAAATTCATTTTGAGAGTTAAGTTGAAAAATAACTTTAATCTAATCCTCTATTAAATCTCATGTTCTTTTTAATATATTTGTACTTTATTTGCTGAATGAAATTTAAAAAAATAATTTAGCAAAATTTAATAATAATTTAATAAAATTCTCGGAATTTTGAATAAAATTTTGAATTTTTTTCAGCCATGTACTTCAGGTCCCTTTTTCCACAGAGTAAGAGGAAGAAATGTGCTTAAAAAAAACTAGAAGATGCCATAGCATATATGCATGATTTGGAAAGTGAGTTATCCGATATATCTGATGACGACTCTGATGATGAATATATGGCCTACACGAAACTTCTGATATCTTTCCATGAAGGAAGCTCAGATAATGAAGACCAAGAGTCATAATGAAGATGTAGAAAATGACCAAATTGCATTAAATATTGAAGAAAGTGTCTATCTATGTAAGAGTTATAAAATTTTTTAATTCTCTGGAGGAAAAAAGAACCTAATCTTATGAAGAAGAAGTAATGTCTAAAAACAGATTTGAAAAAATCTTAAGATTTTTGCATATTGCAGATAATTTACAAATTGATGATGATGTTAGAAGTGACGAATGCTGGAAAGTGCAACTGTGGTTGTCTAGACTTAGAGAAAACATGCTATCCGTTCCAGGTGAGATCAAGCAGTCTATTGATGAAATAATGATTCCATTTCGTGGGACAATCCATATCAAACAATATATGCCTAAAAAAACCTCATAGCAAACGGGGTTTAAAACTGTGGACCCGGTGTAGACAATCAGGCATTTCTTAAGATTTTGATGCTTACACTGGAAAATCTGAAGGTTACTATTGAGATCAAACTGCCTACGCATTAGGTCTAGAAGCAGGTGTTGTGATGCAGTTATGCAGCACTCTAAATAACCCAACAAAAACTATTATCTTTGTGTATAACTTTTTTTTCTGTAACCTCATTAGTATGCGAATTATCAAAAAAATATAGGATTTGTTGGGACTTCGAGAGAAAACAGGCTAAGGAAATGTAAATTAAAGAACGAGAAGAAATTGAAAAAAAGAAAGCAGAGGATCCATTGATTATTCTGTAGCACCTGTAAATTATGTAGGTATCATAGCTGTAAAGATAAATATTGTAACCTTAAATATTTGTTTTTCAATTATTTATTACTTTTAGGATCAAAGAACTGATGGTGTGCATCACTGGCTAGTGTAATAATTCCATACGGCAAAAATGCCACTTATGGCCCTAGAGGAATATTTATTCATGCTAAATGTGACAAATGTAAAAATATCTCTGTTTTAAAAAGGACAGAAGCTGTTTGAGTTTATCAGTTGTAAATAAGTGTACATAAACTAAACGAAATAAAAAAAAAATGTGTTTGAAAATCACTTATCTGATCCATCACAGTTAGATAATGATTCCATTCCGTGGACATTTTGTGGATTCCATTTCGTGGGCTACCATCAAATATGCTACCAAGGACAGATTTGTACCCTAATCTGCCCATGGTAGCATATTTGCTACCATTAAAAAAACATTAAAAAATATCTTTTTTTCACAATTTTTCGCCACGTTTGTTTTATTTATCCTAAAATAACACTCTTTTAACTAACAAATAATTTTTTGTTTGGAAATTTCTTGTGGTGGGCATTAGAGGGTTAAACATGAAATTGTAGTATCTTTTGTAAAATGTAACAAAAAGTATGGAGACGAAGCTCTGCCAAAAAAAAATAATAAAATAAGATTACAGCAGCAAGTCTGCTTAACATTAAGGTAAATGGTTATCTCACTAAACTAGTAAGATACCACCAGGCTTGAATAATTTTGGTGACATTTTGGTCTGGTCCTTTCATAACTGTAATTGGTACTGTAACTAAATAACTGTAATTGGTTCCTATATGTAACCATATATGGACCTTATATGTAACTTTAACCATATATGCTTTTCAATAATTTTGAGAAATGGAAGGTCTTGGTGGCTGAGGGGGAAGAATTATATAAGACTGAAGAAAGCATTAGCTCTCTGTTTTTAGTTTACAGTTGACTTTGGAATATTGATAGATTGTGAGAGTGCTTAGCATTGTGTTATGTTTAACATTCTTAGGAGTTTGAAGCAGTAACTACTTGTGCTGTCATACTGAGAAGAGCTGTACATGTATTTTTAAGGAAAGGTACAGAACCACAGAGTATTTCTCTTGGTAAAATAAATTTTAACAAACTATCATTGTTTCTGTGTGCATTCAATGCATTACGAACCCGTATGTACATTATGATAAAAAAAGCTTTTCTTTAAAACTCATACAATAATTAAATGGCTAAAAGGGGGAAAATATTACATAGTTTGATAGAGGAAAAGTATTAAATAATTATCATTATAAAGTTCATGTACAAATTTATTTTATCAATAATAAAAGCACTGGCATAAACATTATATATTATCACAAGTACAAGTCATAAATTTATCAACGTATATAATGCATAATAAAAGCATTATATACCTTGATAAATTTATAAAGATAATGGCTTATACTGTTGATGCAATTTAATTAATAAATTTCTATTGGGTTGTTCGGAAAGTAATTTCGTTTTTTCCCGTCAGAGGACTTAATTACCTTTTTTCGAAACCAACTTCACACTTAAGCCGCATAACCATTATATGTCTTGAGAGCTGATATTACAAGGCTTGTGTGTGAAAAAGTTCTATTAATTCTACACAGTAGTTTTTGGTTGGTGCCCTTTTAAATATGGAGAGCAATAAGCACATTTTCATCATATTTTACTTTTTTTACTTCAAAAAGGTAAAATGCTGTCCAAGCGAGAAAAAAAATTGATGGATGTGTATGGAGAAGGGTGTTTAACAGTACGCCAGTGCCAGAACTGGTTACAAAGTTTCAATCCGGCAATTTTGATGTCGAAGATGCACCATGGTCTGGAAGGCCGGTCGAAGCTGACAAAGATGCGATAAAGGCATTAGTTGATGCAAATGGGCGAATAACCACACGAGAGATTGGTGAAAGGTAAATTTGTCGAATCGACTGTTTATGGCCACTTGAAAGGCCTGGGCTTAACCTCAAAGCTCAATGTGTGGGTGCCCCATGTTCTTATGGAGCGAATTTGTGTCGTCGCGTTGACGTGTGCGATTTCGCTCCTCAAACGTCAGGAAATTATCCATTTTTTGAAGCAATTATTACTGGGGGACGAAAATGGGTCGTATACAACAGTGAAACGCAAGAGGTCAGGAGCAGAAAAGAAACCGCTCAAAGCGTTTTAAAAGCCAACATTCACCAAAAAAAGGTGATGCTGTCTGTTTGGTGGGATTTCAAAGGAATCGTTTTTTTTTTTTTTTTTTTTTTTTTTTTAGCTTTTACCGGACAATACAACTATTAATTCAAGTCTATTGTCATCAGCTGGACAAATTGAATGATGCACTTAAACAGAAGAGGCCAGAATTAACCACAAAGGGTGTATGTTCCACCAGATAATCGAGACCCATACAATTTGGTCCTCGCCAAAAGCTTTTACAGCTTGAATGGACTACTGCAACACCTACCATATTCTCCAGATCTGGCGCCTTCCGATTATTATTTGTTTCCGGTCCTTTGCAAATTTTTTGGATGGTAAACCTTTACCTCAAATGAAGATGTCAAAAACCACCTGAAACAGTTTTTGCCAGCAGGCCAAAACTTTTATGAGCGGGGATTATTACTGCCAGAAAGATAGCAAAAGGTGTTGGACCAGAATGGCCAATAATACTTTAATAAATATTATTCATTATACGAAAATTGTCTTTCATTTTCCCCCCAAAAAACGAAATTACTTTCCGAACAACCCAATATATTTAGACACACATGCTTTTATTATTTGAATAAAAATTTTATGTGAATTCTGCAAGGAGAATCATTTACCATTTTGTTCCCATTAAACTTACATATTCAATTATTTTTCTCCTCTTAGTTCATTAATTATTTTACGATGCTTAAATAAAAACTAATTTTATAAAACTTTATTTTTTTACACCTTTTCTGTCTCAATGATCCATCATGAATTAAATTATTCAATGGAAAAATCATTTTTCAACAATGAATAATCAATTCTGTTATATCAAATGGTTGAAAAAACAGGTGATTTTAAAAAAAATTCTGCCAAATTTATATTCTTTCATCATTTTTATTTTAAAAGGGGGTGTTTTGAAATTTGCAAAAATTTCAAAACTTAAATACAAGATACATTCTTAGATGCTGAAATTTTAATACAATAAATGCCAAACATTTGAAAAATTGAAAGATTTTCAAAAATTCGACCATCCCAAGACAACAATCCCCCCCCCAAAAAAAAGAAAAAAGAAAGAAAATTCAGAAATCACATCAAAATTGCATATAATTTTTATTTAAAAGATTTCTTTCTACTGTGTCTGATGGAGCAAACAGTAAAGTTTAGAGATTTTTAGTTTGTTATATATAAAGACATATGCAAGAAATTGTTATAACATTAAGTTTTAAAAAATCTAAAAACAATTTGAAAAAAAAAAATCAACTTCACCACATTATACTGCCATTCCCAGAGAGTGTGTATACAAAATTTAAGCTTGATAGCTTATAAGGAAGCAATTTAAAAGTGGATGACTATGTTTTCACTATAAAGACAGGCACCATTAGTGAGTCAAATAAAAGCTTATTAAAAGAAGCAAGTTATTTTTTTAAATAAAATTTAGACTACCTTTCTGTTAAATGCAGAGAACTGTGTTCTACAACGATGACAACAATCTCCATCTGCCCAGTCGGGAGCAGTATCAGCAATAAACATTGCATCACTTTCTTTCAGGACTTGTAATTTGAAACCTTGAAGAAATAGGATAATGCATGAAAAACCATTAACATATTTTTTTTTTTTTTTTATTTCCTAATCAATCTAGTTGTTAAATTATGCACAGCAAAATAAATAAATAAATTTTACCATTTTACACAAGCATGAACTACAGAAATGCACAACTACCTCTTATACACTATGCAAATAATCAGAAGCAAAAAATATTCAAATTTTTATTTGTTTTTAATACAGTTATAATTACCTTCCATTTTTAACATGTTAAATATGTCTTGTACAGCCCGATATTTTGGTTCATTGCGGAAAGCATGAGCCCAAATCTGTATTAGCTCTAAAACTCTATTCCGTACATTCTCATTGACAGTGGTCTACATAAAAAAATAATTAGGTGTGACAGTAAAAAAATTATATAAAACATTAAAGTAATACACATTACTATGCAGGTAAAAGATACAAAGGAAAACCCAAGAGAAAATAATAATTAGCTAATAAATAATATCCATTTTCTTTTCTCAGATATTTATATTTTTAACAATAATTTTCTTCATATTCTGATTTTTGAAAGAAGCCTAGAATACATAAAAAGTTGACATTAAAAATATAACATTTAGCTGACTTTTAAGCTCCTATAGCCAATAAACATAAATACTTCTATTTTTTAGAAAATTATCAGAAATATAAAGATGTAAAATATGAAATAAAATTATTAAACTTAACTGGAAACAATTGGCAGTAGACCTTTAAATTCATAAATTTTAAATAAACGCATCCCTGCTTAAGAGTACATTTGCACCAGGTTGCCTCACTCTGCAGCATGTTACGTCACTCTTTCTCTACAATGTCTCTGCACTGCCAATTTCTTTAAACCAATTGCTGCTCAGGATTAAAACAAAGACTTTCCAACTTATAAATACGATTGCAGTTAGTATGCATCACCTTTTTCTTGCCTGCTGCTGCTTGAATAAACTATGTCTCTCACTTTACCATCTTCCTCCGTATCTGTATACAGAAACTGTGGAGAGCGTTTAGCACCCCTAGTGACATACCAATTTAAGCAAAAATGTATTTCTGAAGAATTTTCTTTGTTCAAAATAAAAATGTTTTAATGATCAAGCCAGTTGTGATTTTCTCTCAGTCATCTACACAGCAGTTTTCTCAACCATGACTAAACAGTGAAAGTAGTTTTACCACCTGCCAAGAACTACATCATCATATACCCATATGTACGTAGGGTTTACCATAAATGTTGCGACACACTTCTGGAGGAGGTAGGGCAGGCACATCATAAGGATTAATAATTGCATAGGAACCCATGGCCAGAAACATCATTGTACGCCACCACGGGATGTTGTACAAGAAAGTGCTAGTGGAAAATGAGGATTGCCTCATTCGAGCGGTAGGTACCATACAAAGAGAATGGAACACTGTATGAATGGAGAACTTGCAGACATGCACTTAGTGTATGGAATAGCTGACGGTAATGGACGAGCTGCTGCACACATTTATCAAGAACACTTTCCCAACAAATATCAACAACCCCACAGTTTGTTTGCACGTCTCCATCAAAATCTGTGCGACTATGGGTCATTAAGAAGCGGCAGGACAAGTGAGGGCAGGCCACAATCGACTCACTCGGTTGTTAGGGAAGAAAGTGTTAGATACGGTGGAAAGTAATCCAAGGACCAACATACATGCCATTGCCTCTCAATTAAGAATGTCTTGTACCAGTGTCCAGCGTGTCTTGAACGTCGAGTCCTTCCACACCTTTTCATCTCCAAAGGGTTCAGTTAGTGCTCCCTGATGACCATCCTGAATGTGTGCATTTTGCACAGTGGTTTCTGCAAGAAAATGCTTGTGATGTTAAGTTCCCAGCTCATGTGTTTTTCACGGATGAGGCCATATTCAATAGGAATGGCGTATTCAATCACCACAATCAGCATTTGTAAGCTCAAGAAATCCCCCACAGTGTACGGCACAACAACACTTCAAAGTTCATGTATGGGAGGATTTGGTCGGCAACTGCTTAATGCTGCTTCTGGAGAGCCATCAAAAGTGTCATGTAGCACAATTCTGTTGTGTTTGAAATGGATCTTGTGGTGAGACTCGCCTGCCCAGCTGCTACAATCAAAGAAACTTCAGGTGTGTTTGAACATGTCTGGCAATCAATGATTCATCGGTGTCAGGCATATTTGGCGTCTGATCGTGCAAACTTCGAGCATCTGTTGCAACATTCAAGCTGTCGTACACTATTTGTATTCCTGTCCAATAAATGTTTCAAATTAATAACTTTCTTGTTTTATTTCCCATCTTCTACCTCTGCTACCACTTATCCCTAACATTTCCGGGTATGGGTTCCTATGCAATTCTTAATCCTTATGATGTGCCCTATCTCCCCTCGAAGTTTGTCGCAACATTTACGGGACACCCTGTATATGTATGTCAACTGATTATTGATCTTATACACAGATTTCTTACATAAGTAAATTAATTAGTAATAATACAATCCGCAATAAATTTAAGTAATAATTATAAAATTACCATGGATTAATTAAAAAGATTAATTACCAAAGATTAATTAAAAATTATTCAGCTTTATGCAAATGAAAGCTTGATGTGCAGCGCACTGAAGAATCTGCAAATCGTAGTTCAGCATTTCTTATAACAAATCTGCAGAGTTCATTAATAACTAATTGAAGGCTGGAATGCCTTCTCACTGCCAATCAAGTGGTGGTGCCTAATGTGGCATTACCACTGAAGAAACACTCATAGGCTGGTACGGGAAAAGCTGGTCCTCATTGTTTATTCTCCAGTTCAATCACCATTATATTTTCAGTAAGTATGCTGGTATTGGCATAGAATGAAAGTTATATACTAGTTGTCAATGTATGTGGTTTTGAATTAATTATTTTATTTCTGATTGAAAAAATAATCTTTTAACATGAGTTATACAGATGATTGTTCAGTAAGGCTTTCACAGCAAAATAGAGCTTCCAACAAATGATGAAATTGTAAATTTACTGACTGAGCTTTCGGACAATTACCCAAGTGATTTTAGTTATGCAGTGACAGTGATGAGGAATTCTTTCCTTTCACAGATGCCCATAATATTTCAGATCCGGAAGATGAAGATCGTGAACATATCATGCAAGGGAAAACATGTCAACAGCATGTTTCCACAAAATATAAAATAAACCAATATTAATATAAAATAAACCTTGCTGAATACAAATTTTTGCATTTTCGACTGTTGGGCTATGCCATATTTCTGAAGAAATACAATGCTTTCTTTTTTTATCAGCCAGCAAACTCCACAGTCTCATTAAAAATCATTGAAAGAAAACAATGTATTCAATCCAGGAAAACACTAATCAGAGAAATAACTTCATGTTTAAAAGTGGAATTCCACATGCAATGAAACACGTCTTTCACATGCATATGCACACTTGAGTTGCCACATAAATAAATTTGGACATGCCATGGCTCACGATACAAGTACTGCGGTAAAATAATGCATTGCCTCATGAATACTTTATTTATGGGGGGAAGGGGTATTAAAGCATAAAATATATAAAAACAGAAGATGAGTGGATGGAGTGGTTCATTCTTGTTAAAATTAGCTGCAGCTTAAGTTTTCGCCAGCATTCAGAATTTTCCTGTTACAAACTGGACAATGGCACTTGCCAATTTTGGCAACTAAACATGGAAGCTTCATTAACAAAGTACTGATGTAGTACCTTATTAATGTCTTACATTAGGATCTTCTAAAAAATAATGCTATTTTAAAATATTAAGCACACCTAATAATTTAATTCACTTTTAACAGCTTTAACCATCAAAAACACGTGCAAGTAAAGAGAAAGTTTTGAATTTTTAGCAAATTTATAACAGTTTCAAATGCAAAAGATGGGGGAAAATCTAAAAAGAAATAATTTGTTATATGGAGAACAGGCCTATATTATTATACTGCCATAAATAATGCATTTTAAAGAATGAAAAAAAAAAAAAAAAAAAAAAAAAACACCTTCCTTTACCTTTACTAAATCTTTCAACTCTTCCATAAATGGTCGAGTTGCTACTTCTACATGGAAAGGACTCCCGCAGTTTTTCATGCAAGATTCCAAAACCTAAAAGTCAAGGAAAAAAATTCTCAATTAAATCTGGGTGAATTTTATTATAAAATAGCATTTACAGCATTCACATAATTTACTAAATACCAGATTATAATATGAAAAAATATAGCATAACATAAAAATATAACTTGCAATAAAAATCTAATCTTTTACACTTGCAAATATGATGATAAGTTTCAACAAATGTTATTCATTTTGTTTCTAAATCATTCCATACCTTCCCCGACCCCTCCCGGTGGTGGGTTCTAGTTTTTTATATGTACTGACCGCTGTGGTCACTTTATTATGGTGGCACCTAGTAGGTGAGCCACTGCTGCCTCATATGAAGGGACGGACAAATTACATCCATGCCTTTTCGGGAACTCGAACCGCCGCTCTTCATTACAGCAGTCAGAACAGGGTTGCCACTCAAACAGGAGAATGAAATTCCCTGACTTTTCCAGGTATGTTTCGAGAAAATTCCAGTCTATCCGCGTAATGTACGTTCACTGTGCTAAGAGGTAAATTAATTATGGTATTACTTGTACTGTGTAGCAAATTCACTTAATTATTCAATAAATCCCAGAGGACATTTATTCTTAATTATTCTTGGTACACTTTGTTTGATAATTTTGTTTACTTTTCCGCTTAAAAAACTTAATAAAATTTAAGATATATACATTGGATAACAACTGTATGTTTTATTTAATTATTACTCATGATCATCCCCAGTTCAACACAAGGCTAATCCGGTTCTTATAAATCACAACACAATGCCAAAAGTTAGGTTACATTTTAGGTAAATTTAATTTGTGTGAGGTGTATTCTTAAAAGGCAGCTTAACACTTGAAAACACAAATATAATTATAATAGGAGTTGTTTTCTCCACTGAAGATTTAGAATCTGCCCAATCTGGAATAACATAAAGCTTTTTTTGCAGACATTCTGCAGCTAAACGAAAGAAAGAAATCTATTTTAATAAATTGAGGTATTTTATATTTATTTCGCAGCATACATAAGAAAAAATATGTGCATTAAATTTGGTATGTCATCATACTGCTATAATTAATTTCAGGATTATGCCAGAGAAAATTTCCTGAAATTTGGAAATATTATTTACTAATAATAAATAAATTTAGAGGGAAGAAGCGACACTAAATTATATGAATAACATAAAAATAATTACTTAAAAATTGAATTAGAATAATCAACGATATTTTAGCGAATATAGTTATGTTACATGGTTATCCTAGATGATTGATTATTATTTTTTTGTTTTACTGCAAAATGACAAGGTATTTATTAAAAAGAAAAAAAAAAAAAAAGAATTGCGGTAAAATCCTAGTATACGATACGGCCTTCGCATGATTTTGAAAATTGTCCCCAAGAACAAAATGACCCGTTTACTGCTCATCATCATGTCGCCAAATCCCGTTGTAGCATACATGGAGATTATTCTGACCAAAGAACGTCTATGTAAAAAGGCAGAGGGAAAATTTGCCAAGGGATTTGACGATGGAACGGCCAGAATTTCCCTCTCCGCGATGTGTACAGGAAATTGAGAAACACGTATTAAGAAGAAACGTTCTTTGACAAAAAGGAAAACTACGAAAATCCGTTTTTAAATTATTGCGAAAAATCCAAGAAGAAACGTTTTATCAAAGAACGTTTTTTCTTGGATTTTTCACAATAATTTTAAAAACGGATTTTCGTAGATATTCCCCCCCCCTTAAAATAAGTAATCCACGAATTAATTTACTTGCGCCAAAAAATATTTTCTTTTCCTATAAAGACATTTTAAACGATATTCATTTTATAAACTCTTGATAAAGTGACCTTCGAACTTCGACACCGGTTTCGAGCTTTGGCGACAAATATATCGCGCATGCACAGCTCTTTCCCGCTATGATGGAACCGAGCCACGTCATTTGCAGAGAGGTTTTCCTTCTTTACAACACATATATTTTTTTAATTTTAACCTTCATGGTACCGTGTACTAGGATTAAACCCATTTTGTTTTATACGAGAACAGGTACTTTCTTTAGTTCATGCACTGCACATGCGATTCTCGAGGTTATTGGAAACCAAAAGTTGCGGGAAACTTGCTTTGCCTTTCTAAAAAGACAACCAAATTGGAGCTGCGAAAATTGGCTCTATGCCAGCTGCCCGAATGACACTCACGTGATACACAATTCGCCAAAAAAGTGATCTCTTCCGACGTCGGCGCAAAACTCGCCTTTTTTGGAGGGATTGTTGTATGAAATTCTCTGACTTTTCCAGATTTTGACTAAAACACTTAAATTCCCTGACTTTTCCCTGAATTTTTTGGTCAATTTCCGAATTCCCTGACTTTTTCCGGTTTTCCAGGTAGCGTGGCTACCCTGTCAGAATCACTAAATGGGAAAGTGGTTAGTGGTCCCCACCTGTGTTTTCCATTTTATGTAGTTTGATTATTTTAAATATGTACAAAATCTGAAAAGTTTTCAGAATTTCTACTACAGCTACCTTTCATTCATATTTTTATATAAATGCTTGTTGTTCTTTATGGAGTTTTATATGATAAAATGGCAGAAATTTCCAGCCATGATAAATAGCTTATCCATATAGGTAAAGAATTCTTTAACTATGATATATAGGAATTCTTTAACCTATGATAGTGAAGATTCTTAAAAAAAATGCTCATAAAAAATTTAAATATTTTATAGTTAGGGTACAAATTAATCAAAAAGAAGTCCCTGCTATCATCGATACAGGGTCAGAGGTAAATGTAATTTACGAAAATATTTTATTATTTTCATAAATCTTAAATTTTAAGTCTATTAATGCACAAATTAAAATTATTGAAAATAGTCCTAATACAAAATTACTCTCTTTACCAGGAGGTCTTTCTGTGACTAAAGTAATTAAATTGTTATGTAAAATTAGTAGATTCACTTATACTGTGATATTTTAAGTTGTGAATTCTAATTTGACATTATTATTATTATCATTATCTTGTGTTCTTTACTTAAATTGCAATTGAATTTTAATAATTATGAAGTGTATCAGTTTAAACTTATCATAAGTAAAGGTATTCAATTAGATAAACTCTTGCACAATAATTTTGTATGTAAAAATAGTGCAAGTACTAAGAAATTTGATAATTATGCTGAAAGTAGTAAAACTGCTAATGATCAATTGTAAATAAGCCTCTTGTTTAAAAAGAACTTAGAACATAAAGGAATGCTCTTATGCTAACAAAATCAACTACAGCTTGTGTGTTAAACAAGAACAGTCAAATTCAAACTAAAAATGTGATGTAATTAAACAAGAGGAGTCAAATTTAAATTAAAACTAATCAAGTAAACCCTCATGAACTAGTGATTAAAGGCTATACAATTTACTTTTAATTTAAAATGGCTCAGTAATTCTATCGTCATAACAAATTCAAATGTCGGCAGCAATAATGTCAAGACAAATAATTACAAATTATCAGAGCTGATGGGAACTAATGCAACGAGCAAGTGGAAGTCAGAAACACACTCTGTCTTACACTCCAAAAAGCTCAGTTAGAAAAGTGTCTAAGTGATTTACATTCTGGTGAGAAAATAGAAATGGGAAATTATAAACAACTGGGTAATTTACATAATAATTGCATATAACAATTTTCTTTCTCCTTGTGTATTCAGTGTCTTTCTTCAACATGTTTCCATTTAAATTTAGAATTTTTGGATTTAAATAAAGATTTCTGTTATTCTAAAAGAACTGAATGCATTTAGAATATCTAGAACAAGCTGCCCCCAACCCAAAGATGTTAAAAGTTCCAGTGTTTTCTTCTACAAATTACATTATAACATATACAGTGATCCCTCGTTTTCCGCAGTTAATGGGGACCAGAACCTTCCGCAAAAGCTGAAAAACCACGAAGTAGGATTTGCCCCTAGGAATTTTTGTGTATGTAGGTACAAGAATGTTTTAAATATGTAAATATTATTTTAAACGTGCGAGTGCTAATTAATAAGGTTAATTACAAAACCTTATACAGTAATAAACATTAATCAACATTGCTTTCTGAGAAAGGCAAAAAGTCACGTGTTGGTGGCGGAGGAGAGGCTCCCATTTGACTCGTAGAAGCTTTAGGCTCACTCGGAGACTCTTCTGCTGTAGGCGCTGATGGTACAGCTGGGGGCTTTACCTTTGAGAGAAACATGGTGACGGGTAGTTGTTGTCTGTGTTTTTTCTTTTCCTTCAAAATTCCCCTGTACAAGGACATAACCCCGTCAACACGATTGCTGAACTTGACAGCTCAAACCATATTGTTGTCAATGTCTTGTGTAAATTGTTGCATCGCTCTTGCCATGTTGCACAATTGTTGCAGATTCTCCAGGGTAAGGCCACGCTTTTCAGTTTCTTCTTCGTCTTCATCTTCGTTTTCTTCCTAACTTGCAGACTTTGTCATCTCAAGGTCAGTGTGTCCGAGCGGCAATCGATAAGGGTGCTGATGTCTTCTTTTGTCATGTCAACAAATCCTTCATTCCTTATGATGTGAGCCAGCCTCACCATCTTCTCCTACGCTGAGTAATGAACTTCTTCAGGAGTGAAGCCTGGATAGTCGTGCACCCCGTTCGGACATAATTTCTCCAGCTAGAATTTGCGGTCTCACTCTTCATATCCTTTAATGCTCACTGAATATTAGACAAACAAGAGGCAATGTCATAACTGCACCAGTATGCTTTCAAGGTGAATTCGTCATTGGCATCGTTAACTGCAGAGACGAGGCCCTCCATCATGGAGTGAGTGTAGAGTGCCTTAAACGCACGAATGACACCATGATCCATCGACTGAATTAGAGATGTAGTGTTCGGGGGAGAAAACTATCTGCACACCATCATGTTGCATGGCCTCCTGCACAATCCATCATGAGAAGGGCCTTAAAGGGGAGGCCCTTTTCAGCCAGCTACAGCTTCACCTGGGGAATGAAACAATGGAGGAACCATTCAAGGATCAGAGCATTCATTATCCAGGCCTTGGAGTTATGCCTCCGAAACATGGGCAACAGAGCCATACTTTTTGTTTTTTAATGCCCATAGATTTTTGGCTTTATAAATAAGGCCTGGCTTAAGCATAAAACCTGCAGCATTGCCAGTATGATGACAGTCACATGGTCTTTGTGAGCCTTGAAGCCTGGCTTCTTCACTTAGTCCTTGAAGAGGAATGTACGCGAAGGCATCCTCTTCCAAAAAAGCCATGTTTCATCCATGTTGAAAACTTGTTCAGGGAGGTAGCCTCCCTTACTGATAAGGTTAGGAAACTCTTCCTCCACGTAACGACAAGCAGCATCGTTATCAGCAAAGTCGCCTCACCATACAGAAGCAAGTTTCTGAGGCCGTATCTTTTTTGAAATTTTTTGAACCAGCCTTGGCTGAAGAGCCTCATTTTCGAGGAGGCGAATCACTCCTGGCAGCACTATTACTGGCTTGAGGTTTGTCAGCACCTTCTTCAGCCTCTTCATTGTCGTCATCGGGCAAGATTTGGTCGTAGAGAGCTTTGGCCTTTGTCCTGACCATATTAGTGTCCAAACTCACTGTCTTCTTCCTGCAATCAGCAATCCACTATGACAGTGCAGCTTCCATTTTCACAATTCTGTTATTATGCGGAGTTACTACATGTTTCGCTTCTTTATTGAAGCAGTTTTGCGTATTTTTGCTTCCTCTTTCTTGATGTACCACACTGTAGATTCATTCACCCTATAATGGCGTGCCACAGATGCATTACTTCTGTCCCATATCTAAAAGTTTCCCTTTTTAGCTGATGGTCTTCTTCCTCCTGGGCGTCCCGGAGGAAGCTTTCGCAGGGGCACAGTGCTTAGGCAGCATTATAAGGGCTTAATTAATAAAAAAAAAGTTATCGCTTAAACAAAAAAAAGTTATCGCCAACACAACACTAAAATACAGTATATGAGACAGTCAACATCACGGACAAAACTGGCAAGATACAAGAAAATATGCTAGGTGAGGCTGCGATGATGCGCAGACAATCAACTCACAGGGATAAATCCACTTGTACTCACATTGGTTGATGTCACACCGAAAACCAATAAAACGTTGCCTTTATGAGAGCCTATGTACTCTAAGTCAACTCATCTCTTTGTTTGGTTGTATTTTTTCACTTTTATTTTTTGATGAATATTTTGGAAAAAACCCGCGAAGCACTGAAGCTGCAAAACATGAAGCGCGAAGTGGCGAGGGAACACTGTATTATGAGATATGCCTTATTTGAAAAAATTACAAGTTTGCACAAATTGGTGACTTACTTTAAAAGCTAACACTATAACAGTTACAAAAAGCAGAACATCCTTTGTGTTATGGATAAACGACACTCTTTGTCTCACGTATTACACATTTTGTACTGCGGATATTTTCCATTTATTTGCTTGATTATTAACAGCTCAATTGTGTCCAGAACTAAGCTATTCATGAACAGGGGGGGGGACTGCTTCCTCTTGCAAATAAAATGACAAAATATATCTAACAATTCCATACCTGCAAGGTATACAAAACTACATGAGGATTTTGAGCAGACAACTTTTTCTTTATGCAAGAAACAACATATTTTGGTCTGTAAGAGAAAAAAAAAAAAAAAGAATAACTATATTACTGGTTAATGAAGCATTGTATTATTAGTGAAAGTTAAATCCTGAATAGAACATATGACAACTTATATATGAAAATTACACAAAGAATTTTAAGCAACAAGTCATCCTAAATTCTACAAATTATCCTAAATAATATAAGTAATTAATTCACATTTCCAGCAATACATTTTCAAAACAATAACTATTATAATTTGCATACTTTTCACTATTACTTCTTAATGCTTCTATAAAGTGTATGGATTTTAAGTACATTATAGAATTTAACATGTCATCTGTTCAAATTTGTTACTGTTTAGTACTAAACATAAAATGAAATTCTTCTGAATCTGGCAATTAAAGGCAAAATAAAATTTTTTATTAAAATCTGTCATAATCATGGCAAAAATGTGGCAAATTAAATCTCAGATGAGCATTTTAAAAGCAAATTAGATATTTTATACAACAATCAGCCATGAACTCTAAAAATACACCATTCAAAAGATTTTTCAAATTTATTAAATAAAAGTGAAAATTTTTCATATGGTATACATTTTGAATAGAACTTTACAAGTACTTATATCATTTCAAATGTTCTACTTCAGGGGGGAAAAAAACACTTTTTCTAATCACAAACAATTTTTATTTACTGTGTAATAGTATGCATAAAGCAATTTTACATAACCCTATAAAAGTAAAAAAATTATTTAGAACACAAACACACACGAGAAAAAAAATTTCTTGGAAGTTTTACTTTTTAAAATTTGAATATGGTTTATATCATAAAAGCAGATTTGGTACTGTTCTATTATCGGAACCGGATTCAGTAATGTAGGTATGTATGTATGAATGTCTGCATGTACATACAGAGGGTGTTCACACATTTTTGTTAACAATTTTGCAAAGATTTATATATAAACAAAGCTTGGAATTTTAATTTCTAATATGTTCAATTTGATAGCACTTTTGGTTGACTATCCTATTACGTCTTAATTTCCAAGATAAAAATCCTTTTCTTAAAACACCAAGGTTCATTTTATTCCACTCCTCCTTCACAGTCTTCCAGAGTCCATCTAATGTTTTGGAATGCCGCTTGTAGAGAATTTGTTTTTAAAGTCCAAATGCATAGTAATCCATAGGAGATAAATCAGGGAACTTGGGTGGGATGTATTTAAAGGGAGTAGGTTTTGAATTCCAGTTTCATTTCTCATTTTTAAAAACTAGATCAGTAGATTTAGAGGTATGTATGGCTCAGAGCCTTATCCTGATGGAACTTAACACAGTGAAGATTGTTTGGATAAAGAGATGGAATTTCTTTTTAAAAATAGGTGTTAAAACATATTTCTGATAGTAATTCAAACTAATCTTGACATTTTTTTTTACTTTCCTTATTTTAAGTTTTCTGTCACAAAAAAATCCACTAATAGCCATAAAACCTTTAGAAAAACTTTCCTTGTTTACTCTGAACCAACATATTAACTCTTTTTCTCCTCTTTTTGGCAGTAAATCGATCTTTTTCTATTGCAGTCAGATAAGTATATCCAAGTCTCACCAACAGTAACAACATATTTCCATTTTTTACCTGCCAAATAATTTTCATACAGCAATCTGCACATCTTATGCAGAGAAAAATGTTTTGGCGCTAGGCAATGAACATTTTTTTTTTTCTTTCATTAGCTTTAAATCAGATTTCATAATTTTGTTCACAATTCCTATAGAAATATTTAAAGATTTTTTAACAGGTCTTTGGGGGTCTGGATATTCCTTTAAAACATGAAATTCGACTTTAGATTTAATAAGAGCAATACATACCTTTGTTGGGTACGCATTTTTTGCCTTTTTCCCAGTCAGATGTAAACTTTGACTTTTTTTCCCGCTCATATTAATTATGCCACTTATTTCACATGTAGAAATATTAAAAGCATGCTTTTCACAGATTTTATTAATAATTGAATAACAGTATTTCTCTTCGGACAGTGCAAAATTATGCCTTCGATCCATTGTTTATTTTTCAGTGACATTTTAAAGGAAAGAGTATTTTTAAGGCTGCAGACGATAATTAAACCTTATTACAATTTGATGCAAGTCATATTTATACTTTAAAATAAATATTTAAATTCATGAAGAAAATCATTACAAAAATGTGTGAACTCCCTCTGTATTTATATGTACCTACGACTGTATGTGTGTGTATACATATACACATAATATGCACATACATACATTATTGAATCTAGTCTCAATAATAGAACAGTACCGCAGATTTAATACTGAGGCAAAACAAAATATAAACATTTTTAATCACTTTGCATCTGGCAATCCAGTCAATATTCTACTTTTGGTTGGTTGTAAATTTTAAGGCCCATAAGCTTGAAGGTTATGATGCCTCAGACAAATAGGGAATATGCCCATTTAAAACACAGACAGATGTATGGTATAAAAGCAATTTAAGAATATCCTCATGCTGATGTTATAGTGGACTAGTAAACAAATGAAAGAAACATAATAAATGAATGGAATTATAAAATCAAGTGAAATCAAAAAATAACACATTAAAATGTTTAGTACATCTTTTCAACAGCTAGAAGTATAAAAATAATTCAAATTAGATTATAAAATTCAATCTCTTTAAAACAGAGAGACAAATTAACATTGACCTCTTTTCCAAACAAGTAATGAAGAGGTCTTCAACTTTATAGAGTTTGACTTGCTACAGTGAATTATCACTTGGTGCGAAATTGGTTAATTACACTTGGTTAATTACAGAGATTTCAGAATGTTAAAAATACAATTTTTATTTAACAGAACTTGAACATAAATACCCTTCTTATGCTTGACAAGATCAAATACCACTTGTGGCAATGAAACTAAATTAATAGTCAAATTTTTAAAAGTTTAACTAAGCCCAGTAGTCAAAGACTACACAATTGATTTTTTACTTTAAGTTGGTTCAGAACTGCAGTTTACTCATCTGTAGTTTGAAATTTGCCATGTAGGAAATTTCTCTTCCTGCTCATCCTTTAGACAAAAAATAAAATGGCACAGATACCACAAATCATATACAAGACAACCAATGAATGGGAAACATGTGTTAGCTTCAGATGTGTTAACAGAGTTAAAACCTCATCATTGGCATTTGGCATTTTACTTTACAGTGATTTAATTTGGTAACATTCTATTTCTTTAACCTGCTTAGCAACATTTTGCTCTCATCATGACATATTTGAACATTACACAGAAATTAGAGTACATTTTTTTATGAAAAAATGCATTCTCAGCTTATATTCAAAAATATACACTACATTTATTTACATAACATTTTACCGATCCTTTAAAGTTATTGTACTCTTGGTTTATACACAGATTAGTTTATATTCAGAAATATACAGTATATATTTATTTATATAACATTTTAATGATCCATTACAATTATTAGAGGTCAAAAGCAAATGACACAAGAGTGTCATTTATTTGGTGTCACTTGGAATCAATTCTAATAGAGGACAATATTCAACTTGATACAATGTGGCAAGGTGCTTTAAGTCATTTATTTACAAGCAATACATTGTCTTACAAAATTATTTTTTAAACACATTCAAAACATGTTGACTGTTATCTGGCCTTTATATTTTTGGAAAATTATACTTTTTAATCAGAGATTATATAGTTTTATTTAATTTCACTTTTTTAAGTTATAGCCACTGCATTTTTGCACCTATAGTTTCCAATATCTGTTTGTTTGAATTTTTCTTTCCATCAGCTGATACAAAATATTTTAATTCAAATCTTTAGTCATCTTTAACTGCCATGTATGTTCAGCATTCAGAAACTCACCTTTCACTCAGTTAATTACTTCCAGGTTTCTTATTTGCTTTATTTAAATTAGAAAGTTTCCTATTCTTTTGTGCATGAATTATTTATCAAAGTATAACATACTTAAAAAATTAAAACAATAAACAATGACCACCTATTGAAGAGAAACAATAAAACTAAAATCAAGACAGAAGAAAAATAACAAATATGAATGAGATAGACGAGTACAGTTTTACTAATTCTTAGAAAGTGTTTCCTAACAGCTTGTGCTTCTTTTTGAGAATTGACTTTGATCACTTTTAAGAAATTTTATTCTTTTACTTGTTACATTATTCTGAAACCAGATTACTTACACATAGCTTCACATAATAATCATATAAAATTTGAAATCACTTCTACCAAGCAGAATGAGAGAGAATGCATTTGTAGAATGCATTGGATAATCTTTCAACCCGCAAGACTCAAACTTTGCATGCAAGAATTAGAGAAGGGAAAAAAATGCATTTTAGGCACTTTATTATACCAATTTTCTAAATATTATGATAAAATATTTTAACACTAGAATTAAAGGGAAATTATTAAATTTCAGAAAATAATTTTTTAAATGGTTTTTGGTAACAACTTTACATGCATACTACACAGATAATGATATAATATAGATTTTAAAAATAAAAATTCACCATAAAATATTGATAATAATGTAATGACATTTTTGCACTGTTAGCAGTATTTAATAATAGAATATTTAATAGTTCACTGTTACACTATTTATTGGATCTTATTATGGCACAATAATTAATACTTTCTAATGTATCCATTGCCCCCACCAAAAAATTGGAAATGCATTGCCAACTTTGAATCAATAGAGTATCTGTAGACTAAGTGATAACTAATTTTTCACCAAGGTAGTGCACAAAAGACACTAGCCATTTTAAAAATGGAATGGACCAAGAATTTCATAAAAGAGCAATCAATCAATACAATTAAAAAAGCAATAAACAAATCAATAATAAAATTCTTATCTTTTAAGAAATTCTTCTGAATTTACTTTGTGCTGCTGTTCTCTCCATGTACTCGGTGGTCTGTTTTCGCTCAACGCGTTCACTGCCAACTACAAGAATACCCGTAGTTAGCAAACTGAGTTTACTTATCAGCTACGAGATAACTTGTTATTGCCTCACCTAGAATCACTGAATATGAGCATTCTCATAGCAAATGCATGCAGGTTTAGCATACAGGAAGAAACTAAATAATATACTTGGTGAATTTAAATAAATCATTTATTTCTCAAAACCTAGATACAGTACCTAAATAGTTAGAACTCAAATCCATTCATTGAAGGAGGGTCATTACTTAGGAAATCTTATAAATAGTATGCTCAAATTCTTATTCAGCGACTCATGTAAAACTAATGGAAAGTAACATATTGCCCATGTAGGAGTTGTGCGAATATGCAGAACGGGTAAGTGTGGTTTTAGTCCTGAATTATCTCAGAGTTGGCACAGTGGTCAACATATCAAAAACCAGCTATGAGTATAACTTATATGTGAACTTATTTACTGGTAAAATTAATCTGAAATATCTATATTTAAGCAACAGAAAATAATTTAAAAGCACAAAAAAAAAAAAAAAAAAAATAGATAGGTTCTCGGCACATGTGAATAGACTCACTGTGTCAGTTTTGGTAGAGAATGTGTTAAAACAATTAGAGAATTGCACACGTTCAGCACTCATTCAACTTTGGCATTTTGCACTGGCATGCTAAGCACATATCTGGGCTATCACATAAATACTTTTTTTGGTAACATCATGGGTTGTTTTACATAACTATTTTGGTGACATCCTGCTTTGCCTCATAAATATGTTTTTTATGAATTTTCAGTGGGAATGCTGATAATCAGAAACTAACCAGCACTTTTTCATGGTGTAAAAATCAATTGCTCAATTATGGCCAATATCAACATGTTATTTAAGTGCTTTAAATATCAATTTATTTTGAATAAAAATAACTTATCAACTTATTCAGTGACATTCCAACAGAATAACTTTACAATATTTCACATTTTACTAATATGCAAAATGAATTTTCTTTTAATGAAACCCACATGAAAAATAATTACAAATGGCAACTTACTGCACATCACCTTGACGTATACTGTCACAGATTTGCAGAATGCTTTCCCAATCTGGTTCTAACAATAAATGACTCGTCGCTTTTTCTGTGAAGAAATGTTTTATAAATAAGAGATTCATAAACTATAACTTTACATTACAATTTCCATATATTATACAGTATTTTCATAATAAATGTCAATATTATTTCACAAAATGATACAAGAGATACTCAAACCATTTAGAGTGCAATAAGAATTTGAATATTAATTAGTATTAACTGTAAACTAGTAATCAATCACATATAATTCTACTTTTCATTAAAAACATTATACTAAGAAGGATGAGTAAACTATTAATTCTCAACTTTTCATTAAAAGAATTATACTAAAAAGGATGAGTAAACTATTAAATATCATGACTTCACATGGGTCAGTTTTCCGTACTTTCCTGTTAGCACATAAAAAGCTGAAAAAAGTGAACTGTTGCAAACTTTCGCATCATAACATAGATTTATCGCTTTTGCAACTGCAAGATATCTCCACGTTTTAAGAATGTCTGTAAGTACAACATTAAGAAAGGAGTTTTTCCTGTGGTTTATAGTTCAATCATGTATCTAACGGATTTACCAAACAATGCAAGTAATGTAACTAGTTTCTTACAAGAATAAAATATATTGCTAAGCAACTGTCAGTGTTCCAATTTGCACAAAATGAAGTTTCATTTGGGTCAATCAAAGAGTACATGACAATGTTTGAAAGACATGGAAATTGTGGAAATGCAAGTCGGCAACTGGTTTGCAGTAAGTAGATTGCCATTTGTTACTCTCATCAGATTCACCTATTGCTGGAAACGACATATGTAAAATTTTGCATGGAAGAACTCAACAAGGCCGATACTATTGTTACAGACTGGAACAATTATTTGAGATAAATATGTGTCTACAAAATGCAAAGTCATGAAAATAAAAAAAAAGGGAACAAAAACCATAGGGCTACAACAAGACACCATTTGAAGTCATACTTAGTGAAGTTCATGTAGTGGCAGAATGTTGTAGTTCAGGATGAAAAAATCTTAAAAGCTATTACAAAAGCAACTGTCAAACATTTCCCATTGGAAATAAACATCAAATTACTGCCAAAGTTAACCAATCCTTCTAAAATATAAATTTCTTTTCTCCTTTAAACAAAGATATTATTTAGCAATCAAGAAACATACAAAAAATATAACAGAAATATATATATCTTTCTAATGCAGAAATTACATATGGCCCAATTTTTTACATTAAAAATACATGGTAATCAGTAATGAAATTCTAGGTACACAATAAATATAAGCACATATACATTGTTTTTATAATTCAGGAGCTAAGGCTATTAAAAAGGAATAGATTAATTGAAATTATACACCAGCATAAGTAAATTTAACTCCTACTACATTACATTCAATTCTATCCACATATTTAACCTTATCCATGCATTATTGGAATTTCATACAAATAATGAAAGAAATCCTCAAAAAATAATTAAAAAATTTGTATTATTCTTTATGAATTATTTCAACATCTTTTACTTATTTAAGTCCTTTCCATCATAAGTGTATTCAATAATTTCTACTTTATTTTATTGAATATATTTATACATATACAGTACACAGTCCAAACTCCGGACTCCTCGTGACTTCAGTGATTCCGGATTTGGGATTTTTTCTGGATATTAGATCATCAGTCTAAATCTAGTAAGACGGCATGTAGAGATTATAAAATTAAAAATATGAAATAATGAAGTATTTATGATATAAAGGGTATCAAAATTTACAAAAAAAAAAAGCTTAATATTTCTTTGTTTATCTTATTAAACATTTCTTTCAATGTAAGTTGTTTAAGTTGCTTTTTTTTTTTTTTTTTTTTTTCGGTAATAATTTCTTTTTAATTCTGCAGACAGAAAATCTCTTGTTCAGTTACATTGTTGAAGTCTGTAACTGCTGTTTCGAGAATTCAGACTAACTTGTCAATCGAAATTTTCTCATTTTCAGTAACTTCTCTGTCACTTTCTTCACTATCGGTAGTGGTATTTTCTGGATCTAAAACCATACTACAGATTTCGCCATTCATTACTTTATTAATGATTGAGGAGCATTGGCATCACAATGAAAAACTTCTTTTATATCATCTTCATTTATTACCGCTTCTCCACAGTGCTTTACGAAATCCGTTAACTGGAAAATCTCCCCTTTGTTTTGCATCCGAAAACCTTTAAAACTAGCGGCTATCATCAAATTTAGCTATCCTTCACTATACATATTTGGCTATGCATCATGAGCTTGGCGACTAACAAAAAGGGTAAAAGTATATTTTAGGGTACCCCTTCGCGAAACTCGGCGATTTTTGTCGTTACATGGACACCGAGTTTGTGCAATTCTTTAACTTATTTTGGCCTGCGTAGCGGCGATTTTCGGCGCAAAAATTGCCGCTACTCAAGCCAAAAAAACAAATCAAAGAATTGCACAAACTCGGTATCCATGTTTTACACATCAACCTATTTTCACTTTAAAAAAAATCCCCGAATTGCACAAAAATGGCATTGTGCACTTCCTTTACTTTATCTATGTTCACATCGACCTATTTTCACTTAAAAAACATCAAAGAATTGCACAAACTATGCTTTATGCACTCCCTTGAAGTTGTCCATGTACACATTGATATATTTCCCTTAAAAAGTCAAAAGAGCACCCAATTCTACAGTAGAGGCAAACAAAAAATACATAATCTCAATAAACTACACAATAAAATAACACAAGAAAGGAAAAACCTGTTATGTATTTTAGCACTAAAGAAAGCAAATATCTCCTTACCTTATTTAGAAATTCATTCGTCTTCAGTCTGTGGCACACAAAATTCCTTAACAGCATCCAAAAACTTCCTAAAATTTTCTGAACTACAATCCGTATGTCAGCGTCGCCAAAGAAATTCACAAAAATAAGAGTAAAAAATATACTACGTAGTTTCGGACTATGGCTACTAAGTAAACCTTCATATACACACCAGTCAATTAATGCACTTTTCCCCTTTCATTCCAAATCATACAGAAACTTCAAAATTAATCCTACTACATTCAGCCATTGTACCGTCTAAACAATGAAACAAGAAATGTACTTCCTAAGCAACACACAACCCAAAAGCCCTTGCAAAAGATCCCATGAATCAAAATTTCCCAGAATAATGCAAACGATTATGTCATAATAGCATTTCCATAACATTCAACTACTCAGGTTACCATAAATTATACAACTTGGCGATAAACGAAACAACAAATTGGCGATAAATGAAACAGCAACTTCGCGATAATACAAGAGGTACCTTAAAGTCAACTCTAACCATGAAAAATTGTTCCGTTAAATTTTACCTTGCTTTTATCGCACAGTGAGACAATTAAGCCTGAATTGTATTAGTCAAGTTACTTGTTATACTTATGTCTATTTCTTGCACATGATTAGGCTTATCTAATTAGATCTTAGTTCTAAATAGATAAACTCCCACACATACTTAAGCCTTATTGAGGGCCGGCACTAGATATCTTACCAGCTGATGCAGTCTCTGCGAGTCCTAATTTCTGCGACTCGATGTGACCATACGAGCCCAGCCACTGGTCTGGGTTTATGCCAATAACAAATCTGTTATTCTTGATTCAAATAGCCCTAAATGTAATTCTTGGGTCTATGAGTATCATCAAAAAATCTATTTTTAGCATATGGATTTTGGTAAATTTTTCCTCGTCAACATTTTTAGCACATTTAAATTAAATCTGTAATCATCACCAAGCGTAATGTCAACATAAAAGGTTACCATACTCCTTTATTATTCAATTACTAACATTAAAAAAAAAAATTGTTTAGGCATTGCTACATGAGTCATTACTCAAGTTGTCATGTTTGAAAAACATGTGTTGATGAAAGGAAAGTATGATAATAATTCACCAAGTTGGTGTCAGATCAATGATGTATTCTATGTGGAATGTTTCAGTTTGAGATGTGTGCCAAGATACGCAGCAACGGAGCAAAATTACTGATTGTACAAATTTATGCTAAAATGATTGTTTCTTCAATAACAGGGTATTTTATTTAGTGTTGAAGTGAATCGGGACTCTCCAGATGTTTTATGCGCGGAGGGGGAAATCAAATGCTCATGTGTAACACCTACGAGTAAAATGTTGGTGGTTTTGAGGTCCGGATTTTAGATCATTCCGAATAAAGGACGTCTGAAGTTTGGACTTTGTACTGTATATATATACAGAGAGAGACAAATAAGTCTGTTGTCTATGTATGTATTTACAAATACATTCATACATATATATATCTAGGATAATTCTTAAGCATAATTCATCAAAAAATAGCATTAGCTCAAAATTTTTCTGCTACCTTCAATATGGTTTGACAAAATATTACAGGAAGCAATATATAATTTATAATTAGAAAACGTTTTATATACCATCTCCAAGGAACATAAATTCAATTAAAACCATGAATTATTAAAAGAAAAAAATTAGTCAGCAACTTTAACTAGAGGGTAATGGAGGATATTGAAGAGTTAAGGGATTATCTTGTAAATATTTGTAAAAATGTATATAATCAATATTGGATTCTTTTCTTTTACTAATGAAGGGTCAACTCTTTTCAAAAGTCTCAATTATAGCCCGAATTGAGTGAAGATTTTATCTTTTCCTTACTTTTTGGCCAGTATTTAGTAAATTTTGATTAAACATGTTGAAATTCAGTTTTAATAAATTAAGAATATTGGAATAAATTTCTTTGGTGAAAAACATCTTTAAAAAAAAATTTCAAAATTAAAATTAATTTTATTTCAAAAACATTTTTGATTTTTTGCAATCCTTAATGTTTACAATCCTTAATAATTTGCAAAAATTTCTTCACATTACGTTATAGTTAACGTTTTTACAATTTTTTACACTACCTCACAGTTACCAACAAAATTTTTGCAACAGTACCAGAGTCGTAGCTAGGGTTTCAGCGCCCAGGGACATCTGAAGATTTCGCGCCCCCTACTGCTTGCCAAGGATGGAAAACATTTAATTCTAAAATGTTGTAACAT